ACAGAGAGGGGACGAGGCTGCAGGTGAAGCAGGGACAGAGGTGCCCGGGCTCGCGTGCGCCCACTGGGCCCCGCGCCTGCCCGAGGGCCTTCAGGCTGTGGTGCAAAAAGCAGCTGCAGCAACGGGCAGAACTGGCTCCTTGGCCACGAACAGCTCCTAGCACGGAGCAAATACAAACAGCAAGCGGCTTGCACCAGTGCTGAGGGAAAAACGAGGCTGAAACAACACTGAATGTAGCCTAGTAACAGGCAAAAAAAATAGGGAAAGGACAGTTATTTATATATATCTATATCTGCAGGCCTGTTGCTCATGATTCTCACGCTGCAGCTTAGGGCCCCGCGTTTCTGCTCCTCCCAAAAGCACTTGTGCCATCCTTCTCGCCGTGCTCGTGACCCAAATGCACAATCACTGCCAGGCAATTGACTGCACCCTGCAGACTCAGTGCCGCCAAACGCTAACATTTCTGCTCCCAATTCAGAGAAACATTGAAATGCAAGGTCATCTTTAACTGCATGGCCAAGCTGGTGATTTTAAAGAGCTATTTGCTCACTTACGTTGCGCTGATGCCAAGAGGTACACTTGCAGGATTAAGCCTAAAAAATCACTAAAGCCCTAAAAAAATTTAACAGAGAAAAAGACTTCTAATTTCTTTTGGTGATGACATGCTAGGGCACAGCTTGCAGCAACAATTAGAGCAAACCAGGTGCAGAGAGAAACATCATTTTATACTGATGTGTCCTTCAAAGGACAATAGGGGCCTCACCATTTCTTTACGATTGAATGGATTTAACAACGGATTTGTACTTGGTCTAGGAAATACTATCACTAGGTGCTGAAAAGCAGTGCTTGGAATGTGAAATCACTGATGGCTCAGTCACCTCGCGAGTTTCCTTGGGATTGACGTGCTTCTGCTGGACAGCACAGGCAGCACTGACGCCCCGCGGCACCATCCCGCCTCTGCCTCTCTGCTCTGCTTGCACTGCTTTGCATCAATGCTTTGGAAGTTGTAAAACCTTTTCTCTGGGCTTTTCATATGCAAGAAGCAGATATTTTAGCTCAGCTACATGTGAATGTTGCAAGTGACAAAAAAAAAAAACCCTGTGCAGTTTGAGCTGTGTCATGATGCAGCCTATGCGTGAGTGTTTCTTTGGGTTTTCCTTTCTCACTAGGGACAAGGGACCTCGCTGTCTGACGTGTACATGCCCTTGGAAATGCCATGCTGCTATTCATGCTTTCCATTGCTCCTCAGAGGTGCTAATAAAAACAGGTGGGGTGAGAGAAGGAGAGGTGTCAGTGAGCATTGAACTCACCTTCGCTTTCTCCCACAGAAGCCCCGAAGAAGACGGGCCTTTCCCGCAGAGGCCGCTTGGAGATGGTGATGGGCTTGTGCCTCCGGGCAGTCACCCTCGGAGGAGGGACCGGTGGGGCAGCGCTGTCTTCCGGGGGCCCGGAGTAGATCTGCAGAGAAACAGAGGCTTTCAACTGATCCCTCTGCGTTACCAGCCCAAAAAACATATTTCAAAGATTTTTCTCACTAATTTGGTTTCACTAGAAGGACATCTTTGCAACAGAAGATGCTCGAAGGTGAAATGCGGAGAGCTCCGCGAGGAAGGCAGGCTGGGCAGAAGGGGGTCACGCTCCCGGGCAGCCGGACATGAGGGGCAGCCTCCTCGTCCCCTGCTCACGCCGATGCCCCATCCGCAACGCTGCCACCTTCCCCTTCGCCGCCACCTTCCCCTTCGCCACCAGAGCGCACAGAGGCCGCGGCCCGAGCGCAGCCAAAGCTC